CCTTGGACTTCCGATCGTTGGATTATGCGAGGAAAACCTCAGCTCACTATCCTGTGACCCCGATGAATCCGTACTGACCCTTTGTCGGTCATGTAACGAATATTGTCAGAGGCAGGAACCGTCATTTACGAACAATCACCAAAAACACTAAGTCAAGAAAATTGACATGCTGAAATCCTACTTCTTATACCTAACTTTGCAATCTTAATTAGGCACTTCATGATTTGGTTATCTGCTTCCTGCTTGTCATATTTGCACGAATGAAGTTGATGTATGAACGGGGAGCGGATGAGGTCACAGCCTTTCCTTATTTAACTAAACTAGCATATGATGCTGCAGTGATAGGTGTGCCAGGATCAGTCCAATAAGGGATTCTTTGAAATCCAGTTTATTTTGATAATTAAAGAGTAATCTTTTGCTCCAAAATTTTTTTACTTGAGGTGGAGGGCGTTGCATGGCTACTTTCAGGAAAATGAATAAATGCAGATTCACGATGACCCAACGAAAATTGTGAATTAACGGGGGTGACAATTGTTGCGACACCCTAAACAATTTCGATGAAGCAAAATGTTATGGCTTTTCTATTTTATTCCTTAGCTCGGTAAGCGTGCCCAAAAGGAGGGTTGGCCGATGAAGATCAGCGTCGGCCTTATTGGTTCATGCACCAATTCCTCTTATGAAGATATGTCTCGAGCCGCAAGTGTTGCCAAGCAGGCTTTGACAAAGGGAGTCAAGGCTATCTCGTCCTTTACTATCACACCAGGTAGCGAGCAGATACGCGCTACTATCGAACGTGATGGTCAGGCCGAAGTTTTGCGGGGAATTGGTGGCGTGGTATTGGCAAATGCTTGTGGACCTTGCATCGGTCAGTGGTCTCGACAGGTGAGCTATATATATAAGAACATGGTATCAAAAGGAATTATCTCCTAGATTGTACTTTGATTTTGGCCTTAGCCTCGTCAAAACATTAATCTGGGATCTAATAAAGAATTTCTCTTTTTAGAATTTAGAATTACTTATTTCCCTTAAGCTTTGGTTACATTTTTCTAATCGACAAGTATCATCTGAAACCATTGGTGATGGTGATTAAATCCACTTAAAGCAGAACACTTGGGCGCTATTGGAGGAGACGAGAACACAGAATAGTGTGAGTAAGTTATTGGATGATATGAAGTGGGGATGAGAGAAAGAGATACGACATTAGAAGCTAGGATAAAATATAGGAGTGAGGAGTGATTCCACAACGGTTGAAAAGAAAATTGGTCGAAAGTATTGCCTTTACTTGACACGAATAAATTGCAACTCTGCTAAGGATGCGCTGCTCACCGGCTAAACGTCTGGCAATGTACCAAGTCAACTGTCCTATATTGGAAATCATAACAAATACTATAGCAAAGGATGCAGAAAGTTCCACAAGGTCTCTCTTTCGCTCCGGTCAAATTGCTAAAACGAGGTCAAACCAATGCCTCAGTTATTTATTTCGATCGCTTATTAGATTTTTAAATAAATAATTTTGACCAGGAAGATTCGTTCTGGGTCAAGGCATTTTTTGATTACTAGACTACGTTAATAGCTTTTTCACTTGGTAGGCTTTCTCCTAATTATATAATACCCTCACTTATTTCAATCCATAATCGCTTCTTCTTGGTACTTAATTATATAACCTATCTTGGTACTCGACCCCATAGGATATGAAGAAGGGTGACAAGAATACCATCGTCTCATCATATAACCGAAACTTCACTGGGCGCAATGATGCTAATCCAGCGACCCATGCATTTGTCACCTCGCCTGAGCTGGTCACTGCATTAGCATTAGCTGGTGATCTCAGCTTTAATCCACTCAATGACCAATTGACTGCAGCTGATGGCACTAAATTTAAACTTGTCGCCCCGACAGGTAAGCGGTAATTTTTGTGACCAGCCCATGATGCAAACTATACTCCATAATAAAAAATCATTATTTATTCTTTCAAATGAGAAAAGCTGATCTTATCCTATCCCAGATAGATCTGAGCTAGTACATGCACATTGTATTGCTCGGAAATTATTAATGCTTTGGGATGTTTTTTATCTTTGATTTTTACCATCCATCAATAATCATAATCTATAGATTTCGAGCATAATTCACTTTTTATTCGTTTTTCTCTTATTATAGCGCATATACTTAGGATATATTTTCAGCCACTATCTATCCTTCCATATCTCATAAAGGCGTAGATACTTGTTTCAAAGTGCAATTAAGTCACATGCCATTTCATCATATTTTTAGAGTTTTCGCTTTACCATAAAATAAGATTACGATGAATTAAGTGATAAAAAATGACTTACTAGTATTAAGTGCTGGAGGAGCTCTTACTAGCATTTTAGACTTCTTATCCCATGCAATTTGGGTCTCTGATGTTAGTTGATATAGACCGTTCTCATCTTGATAACATGTTTTAAGCAGACCTTGGTCTTCGTGGTTAATTTTACACTTATCACATCTTTAATGTATCATCTCAGGCGACACTCTTCCTTCACGTGGGTTTGATCCAGGAGAGGATACTTATCAGGCTCCCCCAACTGATGGTTTGAGTCTAACCGTAAATGTCAGCCCTTCAAGTGACCGGCTGCAACTACTTACTGCCTTTCCGAAATGGGATGGCAAAGATATAAATGACATGCCGATTCTGATCAAGATAAAAGGT